ATATTTATGAATCGTGATCATTTATCATACTCAATAATAAACAATATGGCTTAACAAGATTTTCTTTTTACTTAAAAAATACTGATTTTGATTACTTGCATACATATCTGCTTACCTACAATTAAAAATGGTTACAGGTCCGGTTTAGTAAATTGATATTAATTCCAGAATGCAGAATTATTTCGAAATTAAACTTAAAACGATGATTAGTTAATCTAACCAATTAATAAATGTTAAATAATAAGCTTATGATCAGATTCTTATTGTACAAAAATTTGGGTGTGTAAGTAATACTTCAGATATCAAAAAATCACAACTTAAACTGCGAGTTGTGTAATGTAATTCCCAAACGATACCACAACTTCGGTTTGGTTTTTGTCGCATAATTAGGTAATGATATCATTTAACTTACTAGTAATGCAGTAATATGAATTTTTGTTGAGTTCAATACTGCGGAACTGTGGCATGCAATGGTGTATATTATATTTAAAATTAGCTTTGACTGTTGTTTTTTATTCGAGACATGTTTCGCGAAATCCTTATTTTGTATTTCCCAATTAGGGGATCGCTGACGTTTTTATATGCAATTCATCAATCGAAACAGAACTTAAGAATCTTTTACGTTTAAAACAAAAGTACACACATGAACGTATTTCTACGAGAAACCAATATTTTGTATCAACATTAAATCATTCTTACATTTGTTTACATCTAAAAATTAATTATTGTTTATTCACCACAAAATTATTAAATCTCCGAATAAATTAAAAGTCAGGGTTTTGGGTTGGAAATTAGAAAAAACCCTAGTTTTCTAAGAAATTACATAACTAAAATTTAATTAAAAACATGTTTTTCTCTTTATTGTGGGCGTAGGTTGTAAATTAAGCGGTATCGATAAAAATTACGTGTCACGATTACATACAATTTTACAGTGCTGTGTGCTGGCACTTGTAATTACAATATTTTACACGCTTCTCTTATCTATTTATCAAGGGCCCCCTATTATTAAAAATTTCCGTAATATAAACAAGTTGTTTTTGAGACATGTATTATTTTAAAATGGATTTTAATGAACTAGAAGTTCCCGAGAATTATTTGTAAAGGGAAGAGTTTTATTCACTATATTTTTACTTACTGAATAATGCCCTTTTTTATCTAAATTAAAAATAATAATAATAGAAGTATTTCACCAAACCACCCAACCTTCCTATACATCGAAATATCTAATTAAAACCAAATAGATAATCCCTAATTCAATATCACAATCACAATTATTAAGAAAAAAAGTGAATCGATTGCATGCTTTCAAAATGCTCCCATCACAGGAATGGAATTTTAAATATCATATATGGACTTATGTAAAATATCTAATACATGTATTATAAGCATAGTGTACATATATTTTACTCAGTTATTTTTAGAATCTATTAAAGAAAATTGATAATATGTAACGAATAAGAAAGTATTCTTTTTAATTTATGCCAGTCAATAAACTTTTGTATCGCATAAGTTTACTGTAATCTTTCTTTGTACATAAAAGAAAAAAAACAATACAGTACTTAAAAAAAACAATACAGTATCATACGATGGATATGTTTAAAAATACATACACGTGCTAAGAGATAAAAACAAGTAGAATTATGATAAATCAGAAGAATTATTTGTAATAAGAGTAAACAAGTCTGTAGTGTACATTTGTATATGAATAATTTATTCTTTAATGAACACTTTGAATTATGAATTTGATATTTAATTATTCTATGTATTTGTTTAATTTCAATTTTGTATCGTATCAGTTAATAATATTTCCTACTTTAAGATAATTAAACATTTAAACAGTAAAATTTACCTTGCACTTTTAAAAGCTTTTTATAAAGTTTATCCTTTACTTCGTATTTAAAAGTTCTGTGAAATTGAACTGAAATAAAATACTAAAACCCAAAACTTCGTATAAAACCTGAAACTCGTTTGTCATCTTTAGTTGTAGTCTCTCGAAACACATTTTTTATGTGAAATCTAGAGTTTTAGTATTTTCTTTTGTCAAAAATGTTTATTAAACAGAAATAGGAGAAATATTTAATATGAAGGTATATATATGTAGGTTTATACTACGTATTAAAAAGTTTTATTATTTCATACGTATTCTGGTATTCTACCAGATATTTACAATGAAACTAAGGTTTACACTGGTTATAAATATTTAAAAATGAAAATTTGTTATGCAGATTTACTTATGTAATTTCCTTATTCAAAATTTTCCAATTTCAAATTGAATTTCCTCATTCTTATTAGATACTTTATTTTCAAATGTTTTTAAAAAACACACTGTAAAATTATCTTGTACTTGTAAATTATCGTAATATATCCGCATAATTACATAGGTATAACTGACCGTATTTGTAGTTGTAAAAATACTTTATTTGTCTAATCGTAAAGTTTATTTCTATAAACAAGTAAAATTGTAGGAAGCGATAGTAAATTAACCACATTTCCCCAGTTTACACCTCTAGACGACATTCACCAAGGGTTTTAATCTATCTAAAGATCTCATTTTTTGTGAATGTTTTTTATTGACCCCTTATCAGGATGACGTATCGGCCTCACAACAGAATAGCTGCTATCGGTGTTACTGATCAGTAAGATAAAAACCTCTTATCACAAATACATTTAAAACAGGCGATAATTCCTTAATATTTAACAATGCAAGAATATTAACACAATAATAATTAATACAGTTTAAGGTATAATTTTTTCCAAAACAGATGAAGGTTCATATAATGATTTGCAAAAATTACTCAATGATCACTTACCAAAAAAAAACACTCGTAATGGAGTTTAAAACCCCACCAAACTATTGTCTATTACAACTGAAAGCACGGAAGTAATTTCTTTCGTTTCTTTCATTGGCTGGTAATCGACTGGACAATAAACGTGTACAGTAACCTTTGGGTGACCGTGAAACTTAAATAATAGTGTTACTAAGAGCATTGTTCAGCAGTTAATTCTTGAAATAAAATAAACATAATTAACAGCTAACCATTCGTAAGATTGTTATATACTCCACTTCTTGTATTATTTTCCTTATAAAAACGAATTTAACGAAATTTTAGGAAAATATGTTACAAAGGATTTTTCTCTACCCAAAAGTTCGAACAATCAACCCTTTGTACGAAACCGAAACAACTACATTTACAACGGAACAAAAATGCATGAAATGAAACTAAACTATTTAACACTATATATTTAACTGTCAATCGAAGTAAAGAGACAAATGTTAGAACTTCTGGCATCCATGTGACGTAAAATAGTATACACACCACAGAGAACTTGAGTTACATCATACACTGCACATCTGTATCCTTCGCCTTCGGCTAGGGTGGCAAATCTGTGAGTGTACCAACAAAGAGGATGCTTGTAGTGATAATTAAAATTTAAAACCGTTTGCTCGAGAAAACAAATATGTACTCATGGACAAGAGTCATATATTATCGTAGGATATATCAGTTGCAAATAAGTTACAAGTCTTATTTTTTTCAGGAAGTGCAATTTTGTTTGATATTGCCAGACTTCAAATCTTCACCAAGCATCTTGGAACCAGTTCTTAAAACAAACACCAAGGAAGCTGTAAAATCATAAGAGGATGTGGTTCGGTTAGTTTACAAGTATTGTTATATTCTATGATACAAACTTCTTTGACCTAAAGGTGCTTTGAAAAAATAACTTGTTAAGTTTAGGCATGTTTCAAGTACGCACCTCTCACCAATAAATATATACATGTAAGACTTATTATATACTGTAAATTATTATACTACAGAGAAATACAATAAATCATTACCATATTTTTTAGAAATCACAATAAGAAAATAACTCATTATAAATAATTTATTTCATATGGATAATACATAAAGTGACATAAATCTTAGTGAATCTAAAAAATAACTATTATAATAAAATTGTATGTCTCTTTGAACGTCACAGTTATTTAAAAAACCTTTTCCATCTGGTAAAAATTAAAAATCAATTGAATTACATACACAAAAGTTGTAATAATAATAATAATCGAAAACAAGTAGGGAAAAAAAAAAACATTTAGTAGATACGATTATCGTGGTAGAATAGAAAAAAAATACTACTTTTTCGACTAGCCCAAGCGAAGCACTCTAGACACCTTTAGAAAAATAAATTAGAATAGTTGAAGGCCTTTTTACCCTAAATTTAAATAGTTTTATTTATATTTGCCCATGGACAAAAAGAAATACATAACCACTTTTTCACGGTGTAGTATTATATCATTTAATTTATAAAAGACAGATGAATTCAATTGTGATGTGTCGTTAAAAAAAAAACAGAAATGGCGAATGTTTTTTTGCAAGAAAATAGATAATATCACGTTCAATATCATCAAAACTATTTTACTATGTACAGGGCATTTGACAAAAAAATACTATTTGCCCAATATTTTTTTTACGACAATATTAACTTAGAAATTAATAATCTTGAATAAAGGAAAATAAATCATCAAACGACTGCGAATTTTACAAACTGATTAAAACAAAAATTGAAGAAAAAAACATTACGACACAAAATGGTCAAGCACTCCAACAATTATTATGCTACAAAGAATAAGTTTCAATGTAATCCTATTAACAAGCCAAAAGCAACAGCAACATCTTCTGGAGCAATAAATAAAATAAATATCATTTAATATATACGTACAAGCTATATAAACAATAATCAACTTGGCAATAACTAATATAGGTTCGCATTTATTGCATGTGGACAAAAAAATCACTTTTGGCCTGCAATAGACTTATATTTTACAAGGAACAATAAACATATGCATGTCATATATATTCTTTTTTCTTAGTGAAAAACTTCTAGTGAAAAATAAAAGCTGCTCAAGCTGCTGCTCAGTAGTTTAAAAATTCAAACGTTTCGCTGCCGTGCATATACTTAGCTTCCAATTCGTTACTGTTTTTTGTTTGTTTCGTTAATACTCAAAAATCATACAAACATCGACCTTAGAATAAACGAATCCTTCGTTTCATTTCGTTCCTACGCCACTGCGGTATCCTATAAAATTCAGCCCTTGTACATTGGAATAAATCTTCAAACTCTTTGTCTGACAAATGCCGCTAAAAATAAATTGTCTGTTAATTTTTTCCAAACAACAATGTTATATTTGATTAAATAATTCAATTCCATTTCTACACCTTATTTAATGTAGAGGAAGTACAAAGTTTATTATTTAATTTTAATAAATTATTTAGATTAAAATCAAATCTAAAAATTACATGACATACATACATCCACTACATATTAATTACGTTCAAAAACATTAATATAACATACAAGAGGAAATAGTGTACAGCCAATGATTTCCAAAACTATTTATTTTTACAGCAAAATTAGGATGTTAATTTTGATATCTTGAACGTATTTTTATACACTGATATGAGTGCCATACTGAAAATATAAATTGTGAATACTGTCCATGCCTGACGGGATGCCACGTAATTTTTATTTTATTTAATTCTTTACCTCTAAATTGCACCTGTCGACATCGGCTGGTAACCGATAGTTAGTTACGAGTAGAAGATGGTAGGGGTAAATTTTGGCCGGCTCGTTGATCAACATTGTGTGGGCCATGTTTGGGAGAGATCGTCGCACTTGTGACACGTACCCTCCCCGGTACGTCCCCAGGCCTCCCGTATATGTGGACGACACTGGCATTTCCGCGTGCTTAACAAAAAAAAATAAAATAAAATTCTTTTACAACAGAAAATATGAAAAGAGAACACGAAAAGTCGATTATGAAAGTTATTTGTACTTACGGGCTGTACAGTTTTTCAATTTTTATTTATTTTCATTAAAATTTATCAAAAAAAAAAAATACAGAAATATGTCACAGTAGCCACAAAGAAATGATAATCCATAACAATAATTTCCGGTTTTCCAATACAATTTATCGTATTTTCCTTGATTTTGAACACAAATTAATGCATTTTTAATATTTTTCCCGAATTTATGAAGAATAAAGGTGTACCTACATGTATTTTCACAAACCAACTGGTAATTATCACAGCGCGAGAAACGAAATAGTCAAAATTTAATAAAATTATTTATGTCCTATTATAGATTATTCTGTTAAAAATAAGCGGGGTGTTAAAAAACTTCGCATTCGCTGTGTATATATCATTGAAATGAGCACAAAATTCTAAGTCATCAATTCAATTTTGGGATTAAATGAATTATTATCGAATTATAAATAAACCACGCATGTACACTATCTAGCGAATGCTAATTTATTATTTTGATTAAACTTTGAAGTTTAATAGCAAGACAAAAATGCATTTAATTGTTAATTTTTTTTCTTAAGGTTTTGTGTTCTATGCGATAACATGTAGCGTTTCTTTTAACATACGGTAAGTATAAGTTGAGTTGTTGAATATGAAAAAGATTGAAATAAATTGAAGATATTTTTATAAAAAATTTGAAACTGAATTGTCAAAATTAAATTCCCTGATACTTTTAGAAGTTTCCTAATATTTACTATGGTAATCCGCGATTAATCCAGTTTGTAGCCACTCCGACTGAAATATTAGATACATTTTTAAAATTTTAAATTTGTTAAGTTACAATCATATAGAAAAAATATTTTCTTTTCTATATTCGCATTATTATACAAGCTTAAAAACAACATTTTCTTGTATTTCACATTACACTAATGCTTAAAAAATATACTGATTATGTAGCTTTAATACAATAATTTTTATGAGGTGTATGCATTTTAAAAGATTCTTAAAATTTAGGAATGTAAGCCCCCCGAGAGAAAAAAGCATACTATTATCAGCCACAAGAACTAGTTTAAAAAGAGTGATATATTTATTTCTTAAAACTACCTTATAAAATATTCATTATCTACAATCGAAATATACGTATATACGGCTTGCAATAGTTCTTTTTCAGATTAAAATGAGCTAAAAAAATTTTGTTATATCCCATTAAAAATATAATCTTAATGCAAATACTTAAGGATTACTTAAAAGAAAAATAGCCAAGATCACGTGCACAAAAGCATTAAAATAATATCGACAAACGCCTAGAGTTGCCTTACTTACCAGAGCCCTTCTCTCGACATCTGTTATGGAACCCATTGAAACTGTAGAAAAATGACAAGATTTTGATAAAAATGATTCACCCACAGATCACTGTAGAGTTCTAACATCATCATCATCGTCATAATCATCATAAGAAATATTCATTTTACGCTAACAAGTTCGATAACTAAATTAAATTAATTAAAACAACGACAAAGCCAATTTAATTAAAAATACAAAAAGCCTGCTTGAAAGCTTGAAAATCGAACTGTGTTAAGAAAAACAAAAATAATCGTTACGGCTTTAGTTGTTGTAAATACTGCACAAAACGTACGTTAAAACAAAAAAAAAAGAAAATAAAAACAAATCATTTAAAATAAAACTGCCACACTTACTGTCCGACTTTCCACTGCTAAAATCTGTACTGTGCGTTTTTACACCCATTCCACTATGACTAAACGAATAATCCGCCTGTGAAGTTAAAACTCTTTCAGGAAAAAATTTTGATTAAACAAAAGGTCGTGTTACTTTGTCGCTATAAAAGCCCTAATTAATTTAAGGTGGGAACCAACAAAACATGATTAAACAGCATGTTTAAATAAAACATAAAAGGAAAGAAGAATAGTGAATTTCCAACCAGGTTTTCCTTTTTGTATCAATAATTAACCAACAATCAAAATTAACGAAGTTTTTTTTACTTTCCTTTTAACTAACAAGTAACTAGGTATGTTTTTACTAAGTTTTATTATTAATATTTTTAAATAAACAGATAAATGACACCTACTAATCCTAATTTTGTACAATCTTTACATCTATAGGACAGGAACTATAATGTTAAAGAGTTTACATGCTCATTTACAATAAGGTGTAATTAAGATTTTAATTTTCATATTTTACAGAATTTTATGGAAATTCACTTTTCAGGATACAATGTTTAAAAAAAATGGTAGTAAAACATACATAAATTATATTATTCTTGGTTTACCAAAAATAAAACTAGTAATTAATCCCCGATAAACAATACGTACTACATATGTTAAACGTGCATTTATGAACTGATGATTAGCAGTCGATTAATAAAAATAAATCAAAAATCACAACACAGATTATTCTTTTTCCCAACCTGACATCACTTACTGTAATGTGCGGATAACTAACGGCCGAAGAACTGAAGGTATTAGAGCGAGGGGCCAGACCATAGCCCGGCTTAGGAACATGACGTAATGCACTGACAACTGTATGACAAATGCAAATTATCAAAACAATACTTCTCGTGATCCCACGAACGTTTGCTATCATACCGTGCTACTTTATCGAAATTTTAGATTCTAAAGTGTTTTATGTGTATTTGTGTGTGCACTGTGGACAATCCAAGACTTCCAAAATAAAATAAAATCACACATTGTAATCATTAAGAATCCCAGAGCACATACTTCAAGGAGTAGCTTACCATGAATCTAAATAGGATACAGAGAAGTCACACCTTATATCCTCTCACTTTTAGGTAGTAATTGTTTTCGGCACAGCAAGCACTACCTCTGGTAGTATATGCTCTAAACCGTAACCTAGCCAAACCTCACAATTAATGTAACAAAAATTTATCAGATGAAAATAATTGCAAAATGAAGAATTTGTAACGCCAACCAATTAAGAAGTAGATATTTTATTGTCGAAAGTCTCGGAATTGTCAGAACAATTTACTCACGTAAGTATATCCGTTGGGCAACGTAGCCGACTTAAGTCCATAGCCAGGTCTCGGTACATTACGTAATGACGATATAACTGTTTCACAAACGAAAAATAAAAAAATAACCAACACGCATTTTGCAAAATAATAAAATAGATACTTAATATAAAACAAAATATTAATAACAAGCTAAATAATCAACATCAAATCAAAAGAATTGCCAGCCCACAATGTCAGCAACTCAAACATATTGAGACACAAAATAAAATTGTGCAGAAAAATTCAGTCGGGTTTAGTGAAGATCAGAGAACAAAAACCACACATTCAATCATTTTAAGAAATTCTTGGAGAAAAACTCGCAAGGCATTATATTAGTCAATTATTTTACAAAGTTTAATAACTACATGGGTTATGTTCAACCTTCTAATAATATACAATAACAACAGTAATTAGTATCTTCAATTACCCATAAAAAAGGTATTATGTAAAAAAAAACATTCTCTTAATCAAAAGTCTTCCTAAAAATTTAAAATTTTTACTGTTGGGTAAAAAACTGTCCACTGTTATTTACAACCATGCCATAATGTCATATGATCTATTTGCAAGATTTAGTTGGAAAAGAAATTAAATTTATTAATTTTGTATTTTTATATAACGTATCAAATAAAACACCATTTTTTAAACCAAATTTTGCAAATAAAGCATTATATTGAACAATTTTCAGTTTGTTAAGAGGTAGGTACCATGCTTTCTCACCTTTGTTTAAACCGATTGATTGCCAATTGTACCAAGAGTGGTTTATTGAGAGGGTTTGAAGTAATTTAATGTATTTCGATTTAATAACATTAACAAGTGTAAAATTTACTAAACCATTCGTATAAATGTCAGAAAAAATAGATAATTGTTACAGTGTTCAAATTCACTTCAAAAATTATTCCCTAATATTAAAAAAATACTTAAGGTAGTTGTATAATTCATTTTGTACAACTAAATTCAGATTTAAGTGCCTATACTAAAAAATCGTACTAAATTCTTTTTTTATTAAAGTACATTTTTAATAGTTTAGAAGGAGAATACTTGGTTGTATTCCACAATGAATTTTGTGAAGTTTCTTTTCATTTCACTTATGTTCATTTTTGAAGCATAGTCACGCTATGGAGCAAACCCTGTGAGCCTTCTTTACTTGATCTCTTTGTAGATGTATTCCCCATTTGTTTTTTTGTAATCTACATGAAATATACATAAAGCTCACACAAAGGGTTTTTAAATTTTTGACCATCAGACATCAAGACTGGCAGGCAACCCACATTACTCCACAAAATTAATGAAAGTCTAACCGTAAGGAAGCCGACCACCCAACGAAACTACGAGATTGAAGCTTCGTCCATAACTAAGTCTATGCTCAAAAAATGACTTAGGAACCTTATTAGTACCTTAAATTATCAGCTATTAATACTTGAAATGGATTATAATACGTTTCTATACTGTATACGTTACAATATTATCACCAATTACTTTTTCTGGCATCTTGTGAGGTGTGTAAAAATAACTTCAAATTGTGATAATTAAACCTAAGTGAAAATAACTAATACGGTCAGAAAGGAAACTTACCGTTATAATTTGGTATGGCTCCTACCGACCTTCCCACAGATGACCTACAGCTGTAAGATCTATCGAAATCATCATCGTCAAACGGTTTGGGGTGATCTAGGTTTCTAGAAGGACTAGCACCAATTGGTGAATCATATCGGAGTTTGTGAGGAGGCTCCTTATTAGCAGACGGCGTTCTAACAATAAAATAATAATTGCAATTGTCTTTCTATTTAATCATTTGCGTAATATGGAGAGAAATACTGATAGGATACTAAGGATTAAAAACTAAAGCTGAAAATAACGAGTAACATAATTGGTGGTACCTTGACGCATTTCTTGGATCCAAATGAGCCGCTTTCCACTGTTTGAACTTTTCTCTTTCTTTCACATTCTTCAGAAAAACTTTTCCAATTCCAGACGCAATCTTGCTCAGTTCCTCTTCTTCTTTCTTCAATCTTTCGTCGTGTAACTGTTTAGCAGTGGCCTCGTCTACCTCATCCTCATCGTCAGAATTAGACACGCCCTTATAAGAATCCGACCATCTTTTCCTTCGCTCTAAATGCGTGGATAAAATACGTAGATAAAATACGAAATCGGGCATATTAGTCAAAAAACAATTATTAAGATCGTAGATACCTGGATCAGTATAAGGATAAGGTGGTGCGGGAAAATCGTCCCGTTCAATTTTGGGCGGTTCGCCAGGTTTTGGTGGTTTAGCACCTGGATAATGGGCAAGTTCTATTGGTTCCTCATTGTTCATATGAGGTGATTTGGGACGAGGCGTTTCGCTTCTAATCGAATCGACTAGCACCTTCATAGCAGACTTTGAACCGTGCTTGTGTTTTCCACTACTTCTCAACGAATTTTGAGCTGTATATAAATAAAACTCTGTTATTTTTGTACTAAATTAATAAGTTACAAAAAAACTGTTGATTTACTAATCATTCAAACACCCTACGTAAAATTGTTTTCTTTCATGTAAAAATACAATCAACTGTTTTAATTTAAGAAAAAAATTAATTTTGTTTTGTACAGTTGCAGTTGGACTTCACTGTGACATATAAAACTAATGCGATTATGCGATATTCACTTAATATAAATCACTTAAGGACAATTCAAAATTCAGTTTGGTAAATTAATTCATTCACAATCAATTACTAATAAAGAAGTAATTTATGATTTGTCGTCCTTGGCCAACATATTTATAAACCATCTGAATAAACGTAATTAAAAAGGCACTAATTTCATAAAGTAAATAATTCGATAATTCAAACATTTGCATTTAGATTAAACTGACCATTCGCCACCAAGTTCATTGGTAATTACGCAAAGAAAAACGATAACCCTGCAAAATATCTTGACACAGTACATAAACCATACACACATATTTTTTTTATAAACGAACACAAAAAAATGAAAATTATTATTTGCTACTCTGGTTGACTTTACAAACTGAAAACCAATTATTAAGAAACGATTAATATTACAAAGAATATAGTTTTTNAATGGAATAAGATATACATCAAAATAGCATGATGGTGATTTGAAAGTTGAATGATTAAACTCAATATAGATGTACGTATGTATTTATTTATTTGGTCTTCAAGATCTGTATTTGTCTTTTATACTCAAAAGTTCAAATAATAAATCACAACCGAAATACAACACAAAAAAATGAAAATTATTATTTGCTACTCTGGTTGACTTTACAAACTGAAAACCAATTATTAAGAAACGATTAATATTACAAAGAATATAGTTTTTAAGTTTCAAGGTAACCGATATTGCAATTTACTTACAGTACGGTTCACCGCTAAACATGATAAAAATAACAAACCTTGATATGAACATGCACATGAAAAAAGTTGAGGTAAAAGTATCAATAAAAATGTAGACAATAACGTAATTATCTATTACACAACAATAAATTACGAATTTATTTTTAGCTGCATTAGAAGATATAGAATATACTGAGTGAATATAATGTTACCCCCCATAAATACTTCTTGAACCATCGGAGATACGGTTTACTGCTTTTACAAGTTATTTTTGTGAAGTCAATATTTCAGGTGGCGCCGCCGTGAAACGGGGGGGGGGGATTATTCAAAAGACACTTTGAATTTAAATGCGAATCAACAATTACCATACAGTACAGATGATTTTTAAAAAGAGACTACAATTTTTAAGAAAATTTAAACAATTCAAAAATACTTTAAGAGAGCTTAATAATTAGTGTTGTCAAAATAACTTGAAAATAGAAAACATATTGATACAGTATTCGCAAAATTTCATTTCGATATGGCTCCAGTGGTTCATGAAATATTTAGGGGGAGGTTACTTTATTTTTGCTCGATTGTTAGAGATAATTAGGTTCAGGAAGTCTTACATGTAGGCCTATGAAAATGAGGAGAAACTGGGGCCTTATCGTACGGATGGATTGGTCTTCTTAAATATCCTAGGGTTGGTTCTTCGGTCAAATAACTATACGTGTAAATGCGAGAGATATCACCATCGAGAGTATGCGACTTGTAATCTCTCAATATTAAACCAGGAGAGGGAGTTCTATACGTGTAATGCTACGAAAATGTGGAAATTAGTTATCCATAAATTTACTACTAATCGATTATTAAATAATTAGTAAAAAGACTAAAGACTTTTTTTCATAGTTTTGACCAACATTAATCTATAATTTATTTTTGACCATCAGACATCAAGACTGGCAGGCAACCCACATTACTCCACAAAATTAATGAAAGTCTAACCGTAAGGAAGCCGACCACCCAACGAAACTACGAGATTGAAGCTTCGTCCATAACTAAGTCTATGCTCAAAAAATGACTTAGGAACCTTATTAGTACCTTAAATTATCAGCTATTAATACTTGAAATGGATTATAATACGTTTCTATACTGTATACGTTACAATATTATCACCAATTACTTTTTCTGGCATCTTGTGAGGTGTGTAAAAATAACTTCAAATTGTGATAATTAAACCTAAGTGAAAATAACTAATACGGTCAGAAAGGAAACTTACCGTTATAATTTGGTATGGCTCCTACCGACCTTCCCACAGATGACNATTCAACATTTCAAAAAACATCGAAAAAAAATTATTAACAGATAATTGAACAGCAAATATATCTGCATACTATAACGAACCTTCTGTGTGATTCCTATCAAAAATTTTATATTTGTAGGTATATAAACTGCTATTGCAGAGGTAGTCAACATTAAAAATTCAATTACAGTTTCCTACAAAAAAGAAGTTGCTGAAACGTGCCACTGTTATGACACGTAATATCCGTAATATAACAGATTTCGTAACATTTTTTCCATTATTTATTTCCACGAAACAAGTTCTAAAATTAACATAAACGAGAAATTTATTTCAAGGTTTATAGTGCTGGTCATACAAGATGTAGTTCGTTTGCAACTAAACTAACTGTAATGAAATGAATCAATGCCTAGTAGGTAATTCGTAAAAAAAAAAATAGATGCAAAACATCAAGCAGAGTAACGGTGAAATTAACAAATAATAATACGAAATATAAAAACTAACCTTTCTAGTCATGCTTGTGGGACTGTATAATGAACCATTCAAGCTAGGGGTACGAGAACGCATTGAAAACTGCAAAATATTCAACATGCAAACAAAATAAATCAAAGAAATACTGAAATAAATAAAAGATGAGAAAAAACAACAGCACAATAAGTATTTTAACAACACTAAAAAAACGAAACAAGAAAATAATAATGCTCCACATAATTTTGTTAACACAAATTTTGCAAAATGATATGTACATATCGTAACTAAACATAATGGGGATGTAACATGTATACTAAAGATTAAAACAAGATAATTTGAGAAAAAAATCAAAATTTTTCCACGTCATTTACCCCTCTCATCGTTGTCGCCTACGATTATAAAAACATTAAGAATTTATTTTGAAATAGGAATGTACAGTAATAATTTTTATTAGAAATAAAGACCAAACGTCTAAAAAATAAAAGCGAAAAAATTAGATTATTTTCTAACATGTATTTGAGGTTACAGTTAACTTTAACAATAAAAAAAACATTACTTCCTCATTGCTGTTTAGCACCAACAGTACTACAACTACAAAAGTAACAAAAATAATGGAATAAGATATACATCAAAATAGCATGATGGTGATTTGAAAGTTGAATGATTAAACTCAATATAGATGTACGTATGTATTTATTTATTTGGTCTTCAAGATCTGTATTTGTCTTTTATACTCAAAAGTTCAAATAATAAATCACAACCGAAATACAGAAATTAAAGCCACTTCTATAAATTGTTTTCGTAAAAAAAGAAAGACGATGTTATCTTACTTGCATTTCGCTTATACCAGAACTGCTCATCCTGTCGAATTCCCTGCCGGAAATATCACCTCCTCGGGATTCCACGTCTGTAAGGTGACCGTTTTCGCCACCTCCGTTTAATATTTGTCCATTTTCGGTGGGACCAGGTCCACAACGGGGATGCCAAATTGCACCCCCCTGAAGGTACATTTCTTCCCCATCACCAAAAGGATCACCGCATTTCGTACACCTAGCGCAAGTAGGGTGAAAATGATGGTTATCACCCGCCTAAAAATTAAAAGAAACCAAGATAGTGATGAATATTTGACAACAATATATTGAGCTTAGAGCGATTCAGAGTGATTCCATTCGAAACCACAGAAAGCTTTGAAAATTTTGAGTGCATATTTATAGGTATCAAAATAAAAAATGCTATTCGAATTATAAAAAATGTACATCAGCATTACCCTGTGTTATAAGTTTTATTTTAAAAAATATAAGTAAGGTGATAATATGAATTTATAATATACGAAGAACCGAACAAAAATTCAAAAATAAATAGAAGCAAAATGTTTCAGCGTCCCCACTCGACTGAATTAAGGTGCGATAAGAGTAAAATTTTTGTCATGCAACGGAAGTTGCGCGCGCACAGCTAACAAAAATTCGACAGTACCTATGTGTGTGAAATTTCAATATGTACTAGATGCTCACAAACAGTAACAATGTTGAAAGAAACATTAAAAAATGTTAAAAACCAACATTGTGTTTCCTCATTACTTAAAATAACGAATAGCCCTTACACTAAACGTTTAACTTGCAAAATTTCAAAAACACCTACATCTTTTTATATGTAATATTTAATACTGATCGTGAGCATACAGTATATTTAATTAGGTAAAATGCTTTATATTACAGAGCGGTTAATTAATACGCAAAAAAATTATGCATATAATGTGACTGTTATTTTCAAAGTCAGTTCAGTAACGGTACTATAAAAGTATTATGACAACTGTAAAAAATTGCACTTTTGTTACGCCTAACAAGCGAAAGACACTCTGGAGAGCATAATTAACTGACGGGGTTCGCCTTAGATTAATATTTATGAAAAATTACCTACCTGCAGAACTTTCCCGCTAATATAGCGATTACAGTAAGCACACTTGACCCCAAACTGTCTCTGGTAATCTTTCTCGCAATACGGAAGGCCGTCGCGGCCCATATATTCGCCATGAAGCACCACTCCACAAGTACCGCATTTGAAACACCAAATATGCCACTGCCTGTCCAAAGCCACCAATGCTTGACCTTCTTTTAATTCTTCGTGACAACCAGCACATTCTGAAACAACAAACACAAAATAAACACTCAGTATCCTACCGATTGTTTCTAATTTTACCATATGTATACTATCTCGAATTTTTAATAATACACTCGAACTTCTGTAACTTTAACTTCTATAACTCAAAATCTATTCTCGAACTGGAATATTTTTTTATTGACTGGACATACATGCACTTTTACATTTATTCCAAGTTCTAATTTATAGATATCTATAACTCGAATTGTAATGTGGTATTACAGACATAAATGAGAATTAACTCTTTTATTGAACCATATCTGCTGAATTAACAAAACGCATTTTCATCGAGTATTTCAATTTCTGTTAACTTTTTTTATTTTGTTTAATTTTTAATTTCAATATCATTTATCTTTGTTCCGGACCTGATAATCTTCCCGAGGTACACAGGCAAAATAACAAATAATGTCTTGTGGTTTTAGCATATTATCCATGCTAACTTATTTATAACGTCCTATAGATTCTACTACATTTCTGAGATAAGTACACATTATAAATTATGTAAAAAAAAATAGCATTTACACCGTTTATTTACGCATTTTGTATAAATTATAATAAAAGAAAATGAAATATGCAATGTACTACTTCCCATTCTCTTGCTTCTCATCAAAAGCCTATATTACAATTTACCGACAACTATCTGACTACAAAACAAACTTTGTTTTTCAATGATAAGAAACAAATTACATTACGTAAGCACTTCAAAAGACAATAAAAATTTAAAACGCTAGCAAAAAAATATCACTTTTACACTCCAAAATGATTCATACTCGTAAATGTGCAGTTAATTATTAATGTGTTCTTTTAATTTTTAAGGCAGCCAAATACCGTAACAAAAATTTATTAAACAAATAACACAATACTAATTTTGAGTATATTTGGAAATGGAAACACTATAAATTATAATATATAAGATATTTAACAGACCAGTTATAGTACATTACAGTACGTTATTACTATATAAACGAATATGAATACTTATNCTATATAAACGAATATGAATTTTTATAGAAAATATTAATGAGTTATTTTAGTGAACAATCTTGTATAGTAGATTAAATTCCTTTATTTTCAGCTGTTAATGAACAAAAACTATATGTAAAATGATTTTAACATACATAAATTAATTTTGGAAGTTAAAAGTATTGAAATACACAAGCCAATGAACTTATTCAATTAATATTGCTTTCGACTTAATGATTACAGTTATGTTGTCATAGTCAGGGTCGAGACATTGAAGCCTTTGCAAACTTGTCGTTAGAAAAGAAAATACTGATGGCGAAATGTTTACTATCTATTTTTCTTTTAAATATTATGACTAATGTATGAATGCATTAGTAGCAAGTTCTGAACTGAACTTAGGGATATTGTGTTACAGGCATCATCACATTTTTACATAAGGAAGTGGCATTTTCAGACAGACACATATTATAATGACTGGGAAAACATATTTCACATATTCACCAAAAATGCATTTTCGCTCGACGACAAAGAAAATGTGCCATTTCTAGTTCGGTTGTAAAAAGAAATATTTTAAGCATTCAACGCATATATTTCTTTACACTTTACACCATTTGTAAGTCCGTTAATGTACTTTTGTCAAACGCCTTGAAAGATTTATGTGCATACATACGTACAAATATATATGTATTCTTCCTACGCTTCCCTTGATAAATGGGTTAAGGATTTTATGAGGTGAAAATTAAAATTGTAAATTGACTTTATAGCTTCAAAACAAGAAGCATTTGCGCTTCTAATTCAATGATTTTTAAATATGTATATTTACGTACATGATAACTTTAAGCTTTTAGTTATTTTTATTTCTAAAATTAAAAAGTTATCTTTTTAAAGTGTAATGGTGTTTGTATTTAAGCATATACGAAGATGTGCAGTAATATTGATCATTTAATAAAAATTAATTATGTATGCTTAAGTCTTGACCTTCGACTAAACAAACATATTTAAACATTAAGTACATATTATTCATTTGATTAAAAAAGAACTTCGCAACCAGTAAATGAAAAATTATCTCTAGAACGCCATTCTTTTATAAGCCGCAAATCTTCTATGCAAATTCGTTAATTTAAAAAAAAAAAAAAGATTTTCGAAAACGGCTAACACTTGAAATGCATTTAAACTACAGATGTGCCGGATAATCGGCTTGGATCCGGCACTTTTTTTAGGATGCCCTTTAAAAAAATCTCAATATTTTGTTTAATTTAAAATTAATTTTGAACATGAGGGTCATTTTTGGGGAGGCCAATAGGAAATTAAAACAAAAAGTTTTGGAAACTGTTTAAAATGCATGACAAATACTTGAAGTGCATTTGTTTGTATCATTTACCGATGATGTTCGAGAAACAATGCGCCAGGACGTTCCTTCATGCTGCAGGCAGCGCCGACCCCGTTACAGGGAGTGTATAACAGGGGCTTTAGGTTTTGATATCTTTTGTGATTGGTCAGTCAATATTGTATTTGAATAACAAACACTAATTTTAAAGGAAATGATTGATAAGAATGGCTAACCACAAGATAGGATCACAAATAATAACAAAGTTTAACCTATCTTATCGTTAATAATAAATCATTATATTAATCACATAAAGAAAGAAAGAAACTTGCAATCACCAAAAATACACAAGAATTGTTAGAAAATTTATGCATATACTCGCTTTTGACCAAGGTCTATCATTAGCTATTTCTACAACTTTCGTCAACAATAATAGTGATGTAATCGCGATGTAACAGACAAACTTTGTGTCCGATGACTCAACAATAACATCATTTAACAGTGCTTAAGTTAAGTACCTATCAGATTAACGCGTTCTCACAATCAGTATAATAAGCCAACCTTAACGAGATTATATTTTATGCCATACTGAAAAATAGACTTCACTGTGCATAGTGCGTACTAATACATGCATACACACAGTATAAGTATTTCATTTCAATCGACAATTTTGTACGAAATTCTTTTTAATAGATATTAGTTCTTCTCCCCTATCAGTCACTGTGAGCTCGAAACTGTTAGCACCATTGCTTCGAGTGGTCGAAATTCATTTTTGCGAACAATTTATTTAATTGCATTCTTTGTGTTAAAAATTGTTTGAAATTGCTCCACTATGACGTAGTATCAGCCATCATTCTTTTCTAATTGTTGCAGTTGTCGGCCACAATTCTTTTTCAATTGTTGTCACATTGTCACTGATGTCGGCCATTATGGTTTTTTAATAGATGTATAGTAATCAATGGTTAAAAATTAAAGGAATAGTTTGTAAATAGGTATGCAACACATCGTACACTTCGGCATAAGAAATTGCTGATACTAACTACGTAATACCACTTTACACTGTGCTGACATTTCTTTTATATATGATATTGACAACAGTCCAATTTTTAATTTTTATGCAATACTGCTGCATCATCCAAACACTTTTTAGATAATATTATGTGTACATAGATATACAAACACACATTTTTCAAAAGATTAGTAAAGATTAAGTTTGATAAAGCGATTTCATATTAATGTAATACCTTGCGTTTACTTTAAAAAATCCAATTTACTTTTTACAAATGTAAGACCAAACATAAATCTCAATTTTGCTAATCTATCTTAAACAAACGAAGCATTATTATTGTAAGAGACTTCATGCATAAAATGTTGCAATATCAACAAGAGAACGAATTGTTGGTTCTGTTATCTGTTAATGATAAATAATTAAGTGCACACACAATTGTATGCAGTTGCCAGTTCAAAGAAACGATATTATTTCATACTGCAAAGTAAACGACATAAATACTTAGTCTTATCAAACTGTGGATAATCCTAAAACGATGACCTGACATAACATTAATATACATATACACATACAGTATTGGTATATCGCTGCCAATTCGAATAGATTGTTCCTTTTCATTTCAACATTGGCTAACTAAATATCATAATTTTTACTGTTAAATTCCTCATGATTAAGTAGCACTTGAATTTAGTATGATACATGTATATCAAATGTACTAATCAAAGAAACACACCACAACCCAACCAATGTGACAGTAACAAAGTTGAAACAAAGATCATAGGATGATGAGCATAGTGAATCGGCTCCAGAAGGGTAACCGAACATCATGTTTTCAATTTATAAAAATATATACTGGTACTAATGAGACATATTTATCTTGCAAGTTTCAGATTTCTATTTATTTTGGTTTTTGAATAAATTGAAAAAACAAAAAATTAAAAAATTTTTTTTTCTCAAATGCAACTTTCGAATTGAGTGAAATTTGGACGCATTCTTCTTCTAGTTATTGAGAAAAAATGACAGCTCAAAATATTTATAATATAAACATTAAAAACGATTTTTTTTCCAAAACTATGTTTTTCTTCATGATTAAGTACGTTCTAGAGAAATTTCCATAAAACATTTTTTTATGTTTTTTCAAAGTAGAAACCTATTAAAGTATTATGTAAAAAGGTCCGTTATATAGAAAAAAAAATAATAAAATTCCAATGCTTATATGTATTACCTTTGAAATAGCAGAAACGAAACATCTTACTTATATTGAAAACAACAATTTGATGAAATAATAAAAGGTGGGTTTAACTTAACTATTTTTTTCAAGCGTAACTGATTGCCTTTAAAAGATTAGAGTTATGGAAATTTGACTATACATGTAGGTAACAATAAAAAAGAAAATCTAAAATATTTATTCTGAAAAAAAAACTAGAAGAAAAAAACTACTAAGTACACCATGCAACGTTTCCATTAAAATAACCGCAGCCAATAAACATGACTTTTTCATTTTTCTAAATTATCCTGTCTTGGATACCTGCTTAAATAGTATGTCGACTTAATGAAAAATTATCTCTTTTACATTTAACCTTTATCAGAAAATTATAGACATACCCAAATACGAATGTTCCAGGAACTGCCAAATACAAGCTAAATTAAGATAAAATAAATAGTTTATCACAAAGCAGTCAACTTTTCTAACGGTGAAAGTGAAAACGTTTTGAAATTACGGTTATGCCTTTTTTGTTACTGCAACTATATTTATAACCACAATAAACTTTATTTAAATAAACCCAGAAAAATTTTGTTGGTGCAATTTTTAGACCATCACGACTTTCTCCTTATCTACATCTATAGAAGTACGTACGTGCAACATATGTATATATTTCACGTCTTTTTACACAAAATCATTTCCCAAGCGAACACTTTTCTATTGTCTTATTTATGTTTACGCAACAGTTTAGTATTCAGGGGATTTTACTATAATAGGCATCCTACAACTAAATTATACAAGAAAATGCTGTATGTACAATTTACAAAGATTTGAAAGTTACCTAATACTTCAAAATAACATACTTCCGGCTCCAAATCAAATGAAAATTCACTTTATTTATTATAAAGACTCTATAATTCCTTCTTAAAATTAACGCTAATTATTAATTATCCCTTTGATTTTATGTATTTTACGACTACTGAGGCATTTACTTGCGTAGATTACAGATAAGAAAATGTTTGTGTTAGTATCAGACCGAACTAAAGACTTAAAAATTTCAGTAGTGAGAATTACAAGGTTTAAGGTTTTGTAAATTCAATAGAACAGTCAGCATCATTAGAAGGTCTTCAGTTTTTTATGATCTTGAGCAATTTTCACATTTTTCAAAAAAATAGAGCAACCTACATCTCTGAACTATTTGTGCACAGCAATGCAATCTAGATCTTCCTCCAACTTTTTTAACTCCTGCTTCTGCTTTTAATATATCGTTAAACGACCCTTTGTGTCTGAGAAGGTGTCTTAGCAACCTATCTCGCTTATGTCTTATTAACATCCATAACGTCGCCTAAGTAAGAAAACCTTGCGATTGATCAGCGCTCAAACCCATTTTAAAAACAAATTCTATATTTCAAGTCTCGCATAACTTCTGTTAAGTTACGGTTATGTAGGTTAGGTTAGGTAAGAAAAAGCTCTCTCTTCACACCTTGCGGGTTTTCATAGTTCCCTTCAAAGGCGAGACTCCAAATACTGTATTTGGAAATGTTACAAGTGTTTACAAAATAAATGCCTAATCGGGGATTATCAAAACAGGGATAGCAATAAGTTATCTCTTCTTCGCCATTTTACTCGTTGATCGATAAGCTAATCAGTTTTTTTGCGGTGCAGTTCGGGTTCGCCACGGATTACGCAGATTTTACACATCAAGTGTTGTATCTTTTATCAAGTTAGTTATTACAAAATATAAATAATAAAAATTGCTGATCAACAGGAAACAGTTTATATCAATTTCCATTATGAAATTGTAATTCTAAATCAATCTCTGTTTAGCAATATATTTCAAACAAGACATAATCGGTGATCAGTTGATCACGTACTAAAGAAGACAGAAGGATTTCTTAGATTCATGACGTATCATGAGTAGGAAATATAACACTAGCGGAACAAGGAGAGGGTGGAGTGCGATCTATCACGGGGGTAGGAGAGGGAGTGAGGGGGGGGGGGTAAGAGGGGACATATACTAGACTAAATGTTCATCTATGTATGGGATTCAATCATCTCCGCTTCGGAGCCCAAAATGGATCATTTAAATACAAAAAACAATAATAAAAAAAACACTCACCATTAGGATTGCCGGTGGTAGGACTGCCGGTTGGCGTGGCCGTATTTCTCACTGGTATATTTACACATTTATGACAGAGCACTTCTTTACCCGTGTACGTTACTTTTTCACCGGAAGGAAACGGCTGTCGACATCTGTTGCACGTAAAGCATTTCTGATGATAAGTTTTACCTAATGCAGTCACAACCTGAAATGAATAGAAAAACAATTAGTTTCTACTTCATAATAATTTGAATGTGCGGAACTATTTATATTTAAATAACAACACAATGCTGTTATAAAAATCAGACGGCGTTTAGTACCGTTATTACAAGTACGAGGGTGCGTTTTTAAGTTCGCGGAATGAGTAGGTAGGTCATTAGTGAGGATACTTACTCGAGTCATTACGAATTAAGCAACTCATTATTAGTATAAATACCAAGTTTTATAGTAATTAGGTCAGTAGTCTATGAACTATCGTCGAAACAAGTCAATCGGGAAGAAATTGTGAAATATGGAGAAAATCGATACCGCGCTGTTATAAAATTCCTTACCCAGAAAGGAAAATCAGTTCAAACCATACTGGAAGAGTAGTCATTAATTTACAGGGACTCTTGTCTAGGTAAAACCTTGGTATACAAGTGGCATAGCTAGGGTTGCCACCTTTTTAGGCTTTAAGTAAATATCGTAATTTTGTAAGCGATTATTCTAAATTCAGAGTATTTTTACATCAATAATATTATGGAAATACCTGATTTCCCAAATCTGTTCAAAGTAGTGTCGCTTTTGCTATCCGTTCCGGCCACTTCAGCATTTACAGAAAGAGTATTCTCTGTTATGAACGCAAAGTGATGGGACGACAGGAATAAAGCTTCATCAAAACTAATTAAAAATGAACTTTGAGTTTACATAAATCTTTATTTGCCATGTTTGGAGGCTATTAATGTATTTAAGAGCAACAGCAATTTGTTACTGGCTGCTAGGTGTAACAAAAAATATGTTTTTAAAAACAAAAAATAAAATACTTTATATTTATGCTGAGTACTTTTTTATTTGAACCTTTTAGTCGATAAATACTTTATGAAAAGCCTGAAAAGGTGGCAACCCTACTTACTACAGTCCTAACCTAGCTCCCAGTGATTATTACCTACTCCAAAGCTAGAAAAAATCATCGTGGGAAGAAATTTTCAAGCGACGAAGAAGTGAAGGATGCAGTTTTGGCATATTTTTCAGTATAATTAAGTTAATTGTAAGATCGGAAAATGTATAAAGATAGCAGGTGAATATATTGAAAAGGAAAAATAAATTGGTACTTTTATTTCCACATCTTAGCCCCCACTCTGCGAACTTAAAAACGCCCACTCGTACCTACTAAAGAAAACGACTTTTCAAAAACGTGAAATATGTAACTACGAGGCTGTTAAAATTGAAACTGCCTTACATACGATAATTTTGAAACTTACGATTGAATCATGAGACTTTTGAAGATAGGGAAATTAATCGTAATGCAATAAGGTCTAATCGTACCTATCACATAAATTGGGGTTTGTTTGAGTATTTAAAAGTATATTCCTTCCTGAAGAATAAATCAGGAGAATTGAATGCAAATATATGGGTAATTGAATGCTCATCAAATGCTAATGAAGTGTCCTAAGATTATGCACAATGAATAAATGCTCTTTAACGCTTTGGAAACAGATGAGTTACGAATTAAATGTTCTTATTATTTCTCCAGTAAATAAGACTTCGCTTTGGCATACAAGGGGCACAGAAAGGCTTACGCAGTGTTTCATTCATGTAATGTTTAAAGGGTTGTTAAAAAATGTAAAACAAAAATACTGGTATGCAATGGAAGAAAGAGTAGGGAAAGAGCGAATGTAAAGATAAAAGACGAAATATTAGAAAGTTTCTGATTTTGGGTATCTAGGAAGTCAGATAAGTCGGAGCGGAAGATAGTAGTAGGGATATAAAGCAAAGGATAGCACAGGGTCCAGTCGCCTTTAATAAAAAGAAGTCACTTCTATACTCGCGAAATTCGAAAAAAGTTGCTAAAGGTGTATGTTTGGAGCGAGGCGGTTAAGGATGCGGGATGTTCTAGTTTTAGCGAAATACGAAGATTAGCTCAGGATAAGAAGGAGTGGAGGTGAGTGAACAACCAGTCTGACGACCTTATGATGTTGATGGAGCATATCATTCACAAGGTACTGTCCCATAATGTGCACAAAATCAAAATTCCTCATTAATGCACTATTTCAAAAATAAAAGAAGTTGGTAATTGGTCTTTTTTTTTTGCATTTAATTACTATGTGAATAGAAAAGCTATTTTCATTGAGCATGCAATTTGTTGTTTATGATCTGCTAACTTTATATTACTATAGCGTACCAGTAATTTCTGAAATCATAATCAATGGATTTTTACTTTTCATTACAGCACTTAATTAGTTTTTAACGACACTGAACAGTATATGAGTGAAACAGTATTTCCTTGCTTAAACCTGTTTTTGACAAACTAATGTATTGTCCAAGTCGCGAAATAATATTTACTAAAAAAATTATAAAAACATTTAATTCGGAACTGATCTGCTCCAAAAGCATTTAATGAGCATTTGATTACGATGTACCTAAAAAAAGCGATTTTGATTGTTTAAACAATATTTTCGCTTATACAGCACGGCAGTAATTTTTGAAAAAATCCCGGAGCAGCCAAGCCCGATCTGTGCTCACTAGTTCCTGTTCGCGGCGCGATGTGGGGCCTGTGTTACTACGGACCGTGGGAAGCCACCTTTAAATCGTGGACCATCCGATTGCTTGAGACGCGACGTTAAGCATTGAACGACAATTTTCACGGAATTTAAACGTGTCAAAAATCGGATGAACAACGAAAAGGCACGGCACATTTACAAATCGTGCAATTTCTCTGCAGAGCACTTTTTATAACATTTCTTTACTTTTTAACTCATATGAAAATAAACGCTTTTTTGTTAAGTTAGCGCGAAAAGCTCGTTTTTGTCATGTTAGCGCGGAAAGCTCGTTTTGCATGCTATGAGATAGGGAAGAAATGGCCTCTTTTCAGCCGTGTTTTAGTCAGGAGGAAATGAAATTAGTATTTTGAACGCATGCGCTGAAGTTTATGGGCATGCGCAGAAATCAGTTGTTCAATGACAATGTCTTTCTAACCTCTAAATCATTTACTCTTATTTCGCCAGCTATCAATTTAATGACAAGCTTTCCGCATAAACATGACAAAAAATTGTATACGTACCTCGGGAAGCAACAGGGTTGTCTCATGTTTCGATTCACATGCAGTCTGAAACAACCCTGTTTCTTCCCTCAGTACGTAATGTACTATTTGTAACAATTACTTTATCTAATCTAGTTTAATTTTGCGCTCACCTCTCCTTCTACGTAATCTTGGCAAGCTGCACATTTTGTACCAAAGTTCCTTTGATAATCGGCTGTGCAAAAATAGGCACCATCCTTTTGAAAGAATCCCCCCTGCGCCAACGAATTTCCGCAAGCTTTGCATTTAAAGCATTGGGTGTGGAAATATTTATCTTGTACGCGAAGCACTTCACCGGAGCACTTCTTGTTGCACGCCTGACACAATGTTTTACCTGAAACAACGAAAATATAATATTAGCTACGAGAATAGAACATAATAAAAGAAATTAATTGATTTAAACCAAAAATAAATAGGTAAGTATTAACATGGCAAACTTGAATTAACAATATTTTCCTCTATTTGGAAAAGTCGAAATTAACGTAATAATAATAGGTAATAGACTCAACCAATTAATTACAAAACAATTTTTACTAAACGTGAACTTTCCCAGTGGGAAATTCTAATAATAGGTTCGATTTTAAGAATCCTTTTTTTTAATTATTATTAAAGCCAAAGGTCCCGGGTTCGATTCCCGGCGGGGGTGTGACAACAGCAACAATTTTTCCCTCATTAATTTGAGGTAGTTTGTAGTGGATAAATAAAAAATCGAAAAAATGATTTCAAATTAATATTGCATATTAATCCACTATTAAGTAACTAACAATGTCATAGGATTTAAAAGAATTGTTGTTCAAAGTTGTTTATAAAATTACAACATTAAAGGGCATTTTATGCATATTGTACTAGTCATTTTTCGCCCAGAAACGTTTTTGAAGAAATGTTTGCATCAAATTATTTTTAAATAATTGGGACATTACCCCGTCGATGACAAATCCCAAACAGCACGCCCAAAACTGTTTAATTTGTATGTCTGCACCTGAAGTGATGGCGGACCATGTCGTCCATAAAACATATTCGCTATTTTTACCATTTGAATGCGTCATTTGTTTTCGCCGTAGCAAATGGAAAAGCACGTACCAGTTCAGATCATAAATTTGCATGTATTAAGTTCGCGTTTCCACGAATGCACTGTTCGCATTCGCGAAAGACCAAACGCACGTGCATAAAACGACCCCATTAATGCAGGACTACATATAGTGGTCACTTATGGACGCAATTCAATACACACTTCTATATATATATAAAAATGGATCGCTAAATGTGTTTTGCTAAGCGCAAAACTCGAAAATTGTTGGAGCAATTTCGCCTAGAAAAACGTAAAAACCAAATTCAAATTGTTCCTAGCTGTTAATTTTAGGGAATTGCAAATTGTATAGCGGAGAATCATTTCAACATGGCTCAACCGATTTGACTGATTTATTTTTTGTTGTATTTGTAATTGACAAGACAACGTTTATGTGAAAGAAAATTTTTGGAAAAACCTTCATGGTATAAATTTTGACATTTTTGTTTGTAGTCAGATTTACATGAAACTTAATATTTATGCTCAATGGCATAAAATCAAACACCTATTTTAGCATTTTAAAAAAATTCGACCTCTGAAAGGGAGTGAAAAGGGGTCGTCACGTTTATATGTTAGCTATTTTATTTATAGTCAGATTTACTTGAAAGTTGGTTTTAATGCTTTTTCATATAAAATTAGTGATTAGTACTAGTAAATGTGTGTGTCGTACCTGCGTTCTGGGAAAGCAAAGAAAAAATAAACCATCCGGACGTTTCCAGAAGGTTCCCGAAAGTAAACAAAAGAGTGTTTAAAGGAAGAGACGATCGCCGAGAGGAGGAGAAATAAATTGACCGTTTCAGAAGTGAATCCAGAAAAAAATTGACAGTGATGGCAGTGAAATAAATAGCGCAGTGAATAGTGATATATTAATAATTAGCGTAAATAAATGGTTTTGTCGTTATCAGTCTTAGGAGTTAATTTTGTTAAACCCACGAACATTACAATACATTATAATGAAATGGTATAACCATTAAAGATTTGTTTGTTTAACGTATACTGTTAATGGCATATAATACATACATTTATAAACTTGTTGAAAAATATTAAAGCTTAAGTTGAACGTTATTCTCAATTAATTTTACTATTAAAATCATGTTGTTCAGATCTTTGATCAGTACAGGTAAGTACTTAGTTTCCCAATTTAGTTTTAGTTTATCCGAAATCATTTTTTCAAATCCATATTTGCTCTAGATACCACAGACATTTATATTTGATGTACAGTAGTCGGGATATCTGGGTTATCTGTATATAAGTGGGCAATATTCAGTCTGAAAATAATGAAAACTGCGTGCACTTAGAATACTGAACGGTCTTTCTTATATATGTAATAAATTCTGGTCATGAAAAAGACAAACGTATATTAAGAAAGCGACACCACAATCCTGGCAAACATATGTACACTGAATACAGTTCATCGCTAAATTCGTCTACATAAAAATCTTTCAATGAAGCTGAATTGTAAGAAATGAAATCACCTTGGGCAGTAAAAATGTTAGAAAATGTTTAAATTAGACGTAATCTATTAATAACAGCTGCATTTTGTTCTATTACCTATTTCATTGCTTGCAAACTCCGATAAGAGAAAAATTACATTCTTGATAAACTAATGATGTTGATAGCTATAAAAAATAGCAGGAAATGTACAATTTGAAAATGACGATGAAACATTACGGTCATGAAACTAATCACGGTAAAAGGGTCTTCAAATATAACTTTCATAATAGGTCGTTTGTGCATACATAACGTCGCAGCCAGTTCAAATAAATCACTACTTTCTGAAAGCAGTGACGATTTCAAAAGCGGCTAATTTACGTTTAGACGGATTGTAATGCTGTCAGTGGTTAGTGAAGTATGTGTCCTATGACCTCAAACGAGTACGAGATAGTCTAGGAAAAATTATCGATAAAAATTTTTAAAGAAGACGGTCTTATATATCTAAAAATGGACGTTCCGGTTTTTTTTTTATTTAATAACTATTAAAAGCCAAACTAAATGATTCCTTTTCTTAATTTCGCACACAACTAGCAGCTTCGTTGATTTTACGTTAAAAAGTGGCAAAACTATCACCAAGTATTTATAAGAAGTATATAAATTTATTGTAAACTGCAATAGAATACCTAAGACTAAGGAATTTTTAGAAATTAAGGACTTCAAGAAATTTTAATTTTTTTAAATCCACAACTTAATTAGTGCGATGTATTAAAAATAATGCCCTTTCTTAATATAAAATTGCCCCCGCTGTATATTCTGAGTTTAATAAATTATTACTATTGGTTTAAGCAATTTTACAATGAATTGTATTAAAACTAGATCTTTGGCTTTACGCACCAATGTTCTGACCACTAACAATAAGCTACGAAAGGTGACAGCAGCGAAAATGAGGAAATGTACCTCAAAGATGCGGGGTTCGATTCCCGGCGAGGGTGTAACAGCAGCAACAATTTTTTTTTTTTCATTAATTTGAGATAATTTGTAGTGTATAAATATTAAATGAATTTTCACATTAATACTAAAAAGAATTAGCTGAAGCAATTTTATATTCGAAAATAGCACTTACAGAGTAATTAAAAAATCGATTTAAAAAAGATAAAAATTTCCCGGCATTACCTTCGCCTTAGTAATTGCGACAGATGGTTTATTTCAATGTGTCTGTCGACGACGGTTCACTCAAAGACGCTTGTTCAATGATCATGATAATACAAAAATAAACTGAATAGTAATTAAGCTTGCAATTATGTACGTAAACACATTACTTAAGAAAGATAAATGTGAGATCCTCCTATGATAATAACGTAACTACCGATGTGAATCATAGTCATGTTCGATGCGAACTGTACTTTTTCGTACGTAGATGTTTTCTCGATTTCACGGGAAATTCTCGAGATCGGGAAAACAAAAAACCACCTCGAAAAATCACAAATCCTAATTCTATTGAATAAAATATGGTTATTCTATCCATAAAGTATTTAAAAATAAAAAAATACAACGTGTAATTATATAACACACTACTGAAGTGAAACTTCTTCAAACACAGAAACATACCGGGGTCGAGGTTAAGGAATTGGTTTTATTTGTACACTATGTGTCTAGTTTAGTCAGTGGCGTCGTTTCGACTGTAGAGTGTAGACACACATACAAATACATTCATACATTTTGTTAGGGCTACTCTATACATGCCGGAGTTGTCTGTAACGAACGTTGCATTGAAGCGCGCTCACGGCTCAAGCGATCCCCACTACGAGAAATCCGTTGCATGATTTCGTTACATAGCAACTCGCATGAAACGAACTTACCCTACCGTGCGTAAAGAAGTTTCTATTCAAAAAAGCATTGAAAATTTTACTCGATTTATTCATAAATTAGAAAAATGCATGTCTAAAACGCAAAAACAAATGAACAACTTTTTGCTTTACACTATTGGGATCCGTCAAATGGGAGGAGCCTAAAAACATGGCGCCGATTAGGGAAAATTTATCGTAGTTCCTATAGTGTACCGTGCAATTTCCAAGTTTTTAAATTACGATAAAATGATAAGTATTGACACAATATGTGATTGGGCTGACACAAAGCCTCGGAAAGGAAATTT